GTTGATCGGAGCAAACATCAAATCGCGACTCGTGTCGGAGAAGCCGCCGTACCCGAGATCTCCGTCGCTGGTAAGTCTCGGTGTTTTGTATTTTTTGACCCACCGAGGGCCTTAGGGTTGTTTTATCGTAGGAACCAATGCAAGTTTGGCCGAATTCGACCGAAAACAGCCAACCCGAGGCGGATCATCACCGCGGGCGGTGGTGCCGTTGTCGGAGCACGGTGGAGCCGCCCTGCTGGAATTCTGAAATTGGTTGAATAGGCCCTGGGTCTGATTTTGAGTTTTTTCGGGACATGTGTAGGTACCGAAAGTGTATTTCAGTTCCCAGGAAAAAATTTAAGGAATCTAGGGACTGCCCGTAGGCGCAGTGTAAAGCTGATTTCAAACTCCGAAATAAGTAAGAATTTCTCACCCTATTTTCTATCACGGTATTAAAGCTCAATAAATGATAAAACAGTATTTCATGAATTGTGTATAATTAATTAAGGTTGCTAATGGAGCCCGAATCTGATGTATTTTTCGGTCAGTTGTTGTTTGATCTATTTTACAGTTTTAAATGCAGTATGGTATCTGATGTGTTTATTTTATGGTTTCGTATACATGAATCACGGTTTTGTTTATTATGGTTTGAATTATTATGAACCCCTTGTTGTCTTGTTTGGTGTTCATTACTTGTTTACATGTTTATGTTTGATTGGATAATTGATACCAAGAAAAAATGAAAAAAAGGTATGTGAATTGATAAATGGATTATGTCGATAGCCTAACTAGATATCCTGGGAGATGGTGGACGGACCGGGTCTGTAGGAAACCCTACCGGGAACGTAGTCTCTAATATCGGACGGGATATGGAGACTTTATGTGTTTTGGCACCCATACCAGATAGGGTATGGGGACAGCCCGTTTCACCCTCATATCGGACAGGGTATTGAGGTTTTTGGTTTTTGGCGCCCATACCAGACGGGGTATGGGGACGGCCCTGAATCAAGTTATCAATGTGAATGATTCACGTGTAGCGGGGACCCCTATGGATCCTTATGGATACTAGTAGGCTGATAAAAGAAGAAAATCTGTTGTCTGATGATTGAAATGCAAAAGTATTATGTGTTATGTTATAAAGTGTATATGATTTTATGATATTATAATGTTATTATTTTCTTATGTTGTTTTCATGAAACTCACCGATATAAGTGGACAATAAAATATTTTATTATTGATGAATGAATTTATCATGAATTATGCTCCATTGGTCGTTTTGTTTTCTATCAACCTTTACTTCTGTGACAGTGAGATAGTGTGATGTTTTTACTGGGTTAGTGTAGCTCATTTCTTATTTAACTATTTCAGATCAGGAGGATTTGGTTCCCAAGTCCGTCCTGCAGGAAGACGGGGAGTAGACGTTTAAGGATTTCATAGTTTTATTTATAGCATTCATTACTAGTATTTACCTTAATTAGTTTATGTTTTCATACGTTGAATATGTTTTTTGTTTTTGTGTAAGGGATGTTAATCAGAATTTTTATTTCGCTTCCACGTTTAGAACTTTTTAATACATACATTTCATTTTTATTTCTGGGGCCGTTACATAAACTTTACTAATTCTATTAGAATTCAAAAACTAAATCCTAGAAAAACTCTAATTAATTACATTCTTATATAAGAATTTAATAAAATATAAATTTAAAAAAGTTTAAACATAATTAGAATAAAAGTCTTTTCTCTTGAAAAATGGTGGAGTTGTGGTCGAATTCTCTATGTTTTGTCTTATTTGGATTTGGACTTCAATATTTAATTAATTGTTGTTGAAGAAGTTGAGTTGAAAATGCCTTAAAAGCTTCCAAGTTGAAGGAAAAAATATTTTCTCTTTCATGAGAAAATTTATAGAAAAAATTTAGGATAAAATACAACATTATCCATGAGCAAATTAAGGGTGAGAATTCGACGAGGAATAGAAATTCTTCCTCCTTTGGATTTTGTTCCTCTTTAATGATTCTAACTCACTTTAATTAATTAATTTCTTGAAGTAGAAAGTCATCTTATACTCTAGAATATCAATCCGAATCTAACATCTATGTCCTTGCAATTCTCGTCCTAAAAAGACTTTTGAATAGATAAAATGAGATTTTTTATGCTCGTATCACCTATTGACTCAACCTGAGATCACAGATTGCACAAAATTATTCTCCGACGTCATGGCTGCCTATTGGTGCATAACAAAAAAGCTACTATTTTTTTTTTTGTTTTTTTGGATTTTAATACAACTGTTAGAAAAGAAAAAATATAAAATTTCTATTTAATAAAAAAGAAATGTAAATAAATATCAATCAACAACTTATATATAGGCAGTTAAAAAATAATTTGTTAATTTCTTTCAATGTAACTGTCTATTTATTCTATTAAATTGTTATTTAATTTATTATTATTTTATTTTAATTTTTTATCACTGTTAATTTATAATTTTTACTCATAATTAATAATTTATAATTTTTTTAATTTTAAATAATTTTTTCAATATATCATGTCATATGGCTTAAAAAATTATTATTTGATTCAAAAAAAAAAGTATTGGAATTGATGATAAATTCGCATAAGTTTTAGTTAAGACTTGGTGTTTCATAAAGAAAGAAACACATAAATACAAAATACCATTCCATTAGGATTACATAACTTAAAAAAAAAAAAGAAAAAATGAATTCACGTATATAAAGACTCAAAATCAACTTACAAATTTTTTTACTAAGCCACTCTATTTTTTAAAATTATATGCTAGTCCAAAAAAAATTATTAAAAATTAAAAAATAATAATTTACAAACTAAAAAAAAAAAATTTGTATTGTTAAACAATTAAAAATAATACTGTACATACTGAGATAATTCTTTATCTTAATTCCTTTTATAAATGTTTTTTTAAAAAAAAATTTGGAAATAATTTCTCTCTTAAAGTTAATCATAATCATAAATTAAATTTAATTATGATTTATATTTTAAAATTTAAAAATTACATTAATACTACACCAATTTATTTGAAAATTATTTACAACCACCACTCCTCCTCCTCCCTCTATTTCCAACAAAATATTATCTAAATAACTTCACCTCTTAAAATTTTTCTCAACAGATTCATTCTTGCACGATAACCAAACAGCTGATTACCATCATACAACATAAAAATAATTAAAACACCATACATTTCCATCTCAGTATTATCTCTAATTTTTCATTTTTTTCTCTCTTTGCTTCAACCTACATCATATTCTTGATTGCTTGATGTAGTTTTATTTCAGTCCCACCCATTTGCCAATATTCATATTGGAAAGTGAATTGTCTCAGAATTACATGCAACATGCGGACAGATTCATACATGTCGGCGTTTAGCATGCGAGAGTTAAAACTGTTGATAGTAATTAATAAACTATGCTATCATACATACCCAAACATTAGTTTACAAATCCAACTTCTTCTCCCTACATACACTGCTTAAGTTATGAGGTACACTTCTACAACTCCATGCACCTGGTCGTTAATTATAACTAATATATACATATATATATATATATATATATATGTAGACATGAAAAGAGGCATGCATAGTGCCTAGTGGGTCCTGTACTTGGATTCATCTATTTCGATTCCTTCCTCCACAGCTCGCTCTCCTCCAGACTTGTCCATAGTGCTCAGTCCACCTTTACGACCCATTTCCTTATATCCTTCAGTTCCTATCTGCTCCCTTCTTGTCTGTCCTCCTTTGCTCCCCAACTCTTGGTACCCTTCCGTCCCCAGCTGCTCCCTCCGAGTCTGTCCTCCCCGGCTCCTTCCTGATCATCAACATATAATTACATAAACATAAACCTCAACCACTTAATATATAACACCACTTAATATATAATACCTTCAGCTAAATGCTCTTGCGCTTCAAGACTCTTTCCCCCCGTTCCACCAGGAACCACAGTTTCTCCTTGCCTTGCTCTCGCATCCAGTTCTTCTCTCTCTTGCTGGGAGGCCATTCGAACTTGCTTTTATTTTTCACTACAAACTGACGCAGAACTAAAACAGTAAAGAAACCGATACTCTTCTCTCTCTCTCTCTCTCTCTCTATATATATATATATATAAATATGTGTGTGCGTGTGTGTGTGTGTGGCTGTCAGTCCATATATGGTGATCTTGCAGACTAGGAGAATAAGCACAGGGGAGTACGTAATATGTAGAGGTGAAGAAGAGGGAGAAGGGAAGGACACGTAAAGAGATAGACGCGGCAATGGCGGAGCTGTGAAGGCCATTGGAGAAGACACGTAGCTGCTTGTCACTGCTTTTCCTTGCTACTTGCTTGACACGAGTACTGTGATTATAAACAAATTGTAATTTAGAATATAATAAATAAATTATAAACATATATAAAATACATTGGTATAAGTTGATTATCTGGCTATTTAAATTAATAGATATACTAACGGTTCAACTTATTTTGTTTTTGCCAAAATACCTACGATTCATCTTAATACATTGAAAATATAATAATATTGTTACGAAAATTAATTTCTAAACTGTATATAATTATAAAAAAGTAAACGTAATTCAGTCAAGATTGGGATAAATTTTTTTTTTTATTCTAGTAATTTAAAAATACATCCCAAATAAAGTTGTACATCAAGTTTTTATTTTATAAAATTTCTTCATGATATATATATAAAATAATCTTTAAAAAAAATTATCAAAATATCATCCAAAAATAAATACAAATCATTCAAAATAAATATAAAATATTCTTTATATAAAATATTTCTACTATAATATAATAAATATATAATTATATTTTTCCTATAAATTTGCTGTATTATTATATAAAAATCTCTCCATCTTTTAAAATTAATCAAAGAAAATAATCATATTTTTAAAAAAAGAATACGTAATTTAATTTATTTTATAAATTAGAGAGAAAAAGATGTGTTTAAACTATGAATTACAGGGTAAAATACAAAAGAAATTGTAGAATAATTTACAATTTTTTTTTTCTAATTTTAAAATTGGTTTGGTATTAAAGTCCACCTGCTTTGTCGCTTATTTTTTTTAATATTTCATTACCTTAAATTTCTTACTTGAATTAATAATATTGATTAATTTGAAACTCTTAAACTAATACAATATCACCTAACTTGCATAATTATTTTTTAAAAAATATCATATTAAATTAAATTTATTCTATTTTATTAAGAAAATATAATTAAAATTTTTTATTTATAACTAAAATACTCTGAAAGTAAAACTCAGTTACCATACAATGAATCTAATTAATGTAATAATACGAAAAATACATTTAATTAAATTAAAAATATTTATAAACAAATCATTCCTAAACGCATAAAAACTTATATGATTAATTTTTTTTCTTTTAAATTCAAAGTTCAGTCTGATCCATTGAAGAAAAATAATTTTATATAATATAGTACAACAAATAATTATTAAGTACCTTGAAAATTATTATTAAAAAAATCAAAAATTATAAAATAGTTAATACAATCGAGAAATAAATTTTTTATATTTTAATAAAAACTTAAAATGAATAAATCAAAACTTTGAAAAATTAGAAATATATGTCTGCGTCTAGGAAAATCACAGCCATTCATTTCGACCATGACACTGAAAAATTGGAATGGAATCAACTCTACCAATCTCCAGATCTTTGGCAAGCTGCTTCTAACTTTCAACTTTGTCCTGTTCACATGGGGGCTCCGTATACTCTACACTAACCAAGCTGGCCAAACCAGGACAAACTGAAACAGAAGAAGAAGAAAACGATTCCAACCTCTTTTTTTCTTCTTCTCCTTCTCCTACTTCTTTTTCTTCTTCTTCGCTTCACAAAATAAATGCTAATTAATCATTTGCCTTGATTGGGATTCAATATAAACAATGAAAGAATCAGAAGAACGGGGTTCCTCGAAGAATCTCAAAAAAATCATCCCGCCGTACATGAAGGCGGTTTCGGGTTCATTGGGTGGGATTATGGAGGCGTGTTGTTTGCAGCCGATCGACGTTATCAAGACCCGTCTGCAACTCGATCGGAGCGGGACCTATAAAGGGATCATTCACTGCGGAGCCACAGTGTCGCGCACGGAAGGCGTGCGTGCTCTGTGGAAGGGACTGACCCCCTTCGCCACGCACCTGACTCTCAAATACGCGCTCCGCATGGGCTCCAATGCAGTGCTTCAATCCGCTTTTAAAGATTCAGAGACTGGTAAGCTGAGCAACCATGGACGAATTCTTTCCGGGTTTGGTGCTGGAGTTCTGA